GAGGCACCTCCACGACCACACCAGCAGATGGCAGTAGTGGTTTTTCTGTTGTTGCTCATTGATCACATTTCTACCTTCGGAGCGTTTCACACTTCTGAGTTTAGGTGCTGCAGAGTGAACCTGCACTAAGTAAAGGGTTGGTCCACTTCCTGCTGTCTCGGTCCACTTCCTGCTGTCTCGGCGTACTTCCTGCAGCCTCTCTGACATGTGAGGAGGAAGCCAACTACAGACCTGCAGATCACATGATGGAACACTTTGTCTCATGTCACAAACAAGCAGGATTCGGTTCAGACCACCAGATGTTCGTGTCTGTTTTCACAGATCTGTGCAGCGACAGCCAGGTGGGGTTCTGCATGTTGAGACATGAACCGAGCCTCCGGCGCTGGAGGTGCCGAGCGGTTCTTCTGGTCTCCGGGCTGCTCTCAAACCAGCATATGCGACTTTGCCAAGTGAGCATCAGCTGCTCCCGTCTGTGCCACTGATGCAGCACTATTGTCTTTTCTGCATCTGCTGTGTCTTCTATGTACAAATGAGTGAGTTCAGCTTCAAACCGTGGACCTGCTGCTTCGTGGCGGACTTTAGGTTTTGTATACAAACGAAACGAGGAGATTCAGAACCTGTAAAGGGAAAACGCAGATTAATCCCACAGTTTGGCTGGAATGAACCCTGGAGCACAGCATGCAGCCCCTGATCCAGGAGGCGGTGGTTGGACTGGTGGAGTTCTACAGACGGCGCTGATCGATGCATGCAGGCTATTTGGACCATTCCTGGATTAAACACTGAAACAGAACCAATCAGCCCGGTGCCCGTCTCAGGTAACAATGAGTGTTAGAAAGGCCCAGTCAGATCTTGCTGTTCTCCAGGTGGGAGTCGATGTGTTTGATCAGAGCGTCGTCAGGGTAACCGGTCGGGAAGGTCAGCTGACACAGAGGACAGCTACGAACGGCGTTCTCCTCCGACTCCATCCAGAGCTGCAGACAAGAGGAAAAACCAGGAGTCACTTCACTGAACCACATATCACAGCAAACCCTCCATTATCTGTCCACCGTCTGATCCGCACCAGAACCCCACAAGATCCTCACCCAAACCTGCACAAGCTGCTTCAGCACAGAACCCTAACCCTAACACAGAAACAGAACAAGTCAACCTGCTGTTTCGTGTTTCCATCCGGCTTCACCTCACTGAGCTCAGAACTTCTTCTCGATGTGGACGCTTTCATGAAGCTTTTCTACCACGAAGCTTTAAAATGTGCTTCGTGTCTCATGTGGTGACATCCTCACAAACCAGTTCCTCCTGTTGACTGGAGGAGCAGCAGCGTGATGGGAGCGACCCCTGAAGCTCTCAGTGTTGTCCCACGGTCAGCCAGAAGGCATCATGTCGTGTACACGCACACGGAGGTAACTCACTATTATATCACGCCGCTCTGGGCGTCGTCATAGCAACACACAAATCAGCTGTGTCTTGACATGTGAACGAGAGAAACGCGATAAAACATGGATTACAAGGTTAATTTTAATGTTTTGGGCTGAAACAAAATCAAAGAACGCGCCAGTGTCATTTAATAACTGCACAACTAACGGAAACATTCAGTTCAGTTTGCGTGTAAATGCAGGATGAGATGTAGTCAGAACAGTTCAGCAGCATTTACTGATCTGTTACGGCTTTAACTGTGTTAATGTAAGTACGGATTAAAGAACAAGGAGCCGTGCATGTTACGGTTTGAAGTCCAAAACACCAGAACTTCTTATTTCAACCAGATATTCTGCATTTTGTTCTCTGCTTCAGAAAGTTCTCATATTTACGTTATTTAAATCATACTTTCTGACATCGTTTCTATATTTCTGCCCACATTTTGGTGGTGTTTGGTGTAAACTGTTGGTTCTGTGCAGAGCCCGTCCCCCCAGACTGGACTGGAGCGACACCGGTGCCGTCTCTGAGTCGTCCCATCGCTCTTCTCTACTCACATTAATAGACGGCCACGACTGAGCATGCTCCGTGTTCATGTAGGGAGGCAGATGGCAGGAGAGGGTGGCCGGGCCCTCAGGGGCCGAGAAGGAGGGATGATGGGGCTGTTTCCTAGGAGACGGGAAAGAGGGGTGCAGGGGCTGTTCCCTAGGTGACGACGAGCCAATCCCGATAGCGCCGAGCGTCCGAGGTGGGCTGGCAGCCGGCGACAGATACGTGCACACATCCTGGAGATGCACACAACACACACACTGTGAGCATCAACAAGCCGAGTCCGAACCACAGGAAGAGAAACGAGCATCACCTCCTCGTCGTCGGAGGACTGCGGCGGCGTCACCAGCGGGGTGGGCTCAGGCGGGTCGTCCCGGCGACAGAAGTGGTGAACCTGGACGGAGGAGACGTTAGAACAACAGTCAGAATCCTGGATGTTCCTGATTTAAAAAAAACTAAAAACATGGCATCTCTGCTGTTATCAGACATCAGGTAGGAGGTGGA